TCAGATAACTTTTGTCCTTGTTCCAAAACAAGTTTCTGCTGTGCATTATGAGTGCCAGATTTAATCACGTTATCTATTATTGCTAATTCTTCTACACCTGGTTTGTATTGATACTTGTAGTGCTTATATCCTGGAATAATTGTGCCATTTTTATCTGATATATAAACGCTACTAGAATAATCTGCATCATTATCTTGTAGTGTAAAATAAAGACCATCTGTTTTTTTTGTGATATCTTGTAGCAAGGGGTCATGTTCATCATAAAAATTGATGTAATTTAGTGTACCCTCTAGCTCACTGCCATCGTTATCATTAATGAAAAAACCAAAAGCAAAATTTCCACTGTTTTGTATATAACCGAGTGCAAATAATACTTCTTTTCCTGATTTAAGAGCTACAATACTCTTTTGATCACTACTCATGAAGGCTTCTTGCTCTATAGTAAAGTCCTTTCCATCTATTTTTAGAGCTGAATTATCATAATATAAAACTATTTTGTTGATATCACTATTCCACTTTAATCTTAAGGGACTAAAATTATCTACTGATACCGGTAGATTATTATGTGAATGAATAGTGTACCCCTTTCCTTCACCATTGCTTGTTAACCTGTAATACGCAGTAGGAAGTTTAATCAGCTTCTTATATGGTAGATCTTGATTATCTACCCTAAGTGTATATTCCTTCATACTATCTTAAATATCCAGCAACCACCTGACCAATTTTGCCTATGTTTCTTAGAGAAGTGATGTCGGTCATGAAACTTCTTGGTTGCTCATTTTTCTCAATATTAGAAAAACTTTTTTGATGCTGCTCATTGCTTACTAGCGTTTTTTGCATATTCTTTTCAAAAGCAGCTAAAAATTTGTCAATTTGTTTACATTTTGAGCATGATTTTTCTGCAGCTAAACATAAGAATTCCAACAGCTTATCGTGATTTTCATCATTAAATGACTTATCTATAATAGATGAATGTAGTTCTATTGGATCGAAATTTAAGCTTTTTCTTGAAATGCCACATGTTAAAGCAGTTTCTCCTAATACCTTTTTAAATTTTTTCACAACATCTACAGTGTCTACTATTTTTGCTGTTTGGTTCAGATTTTGTATTGTATTTTCTATTTTGTATTTATCTTCTCCTATCAAAGAGGAAAAGAAAGTTATTACCTGAGATATAAATAAAGTTGGTCCACTTGCTTTGTTTGTCATTGATGGAATGTAAAAATTTTCAATTGCTCTTTTACTTCTTGTTACACTGTGTGCAGGGCAAACTGGATCTTCAGGTTTTATTCTGCAAAACATATTTTGTACTTGTTGACGGTAAGTATCTGCGTTGCGTTGTGATTGTATTGCGTCATTTTTAGATCTCTCAGCCCTTTGTGCGGCAGCTTCTGTTTTTTGATGTAGTTTTGTGACCTGGAGTTCAGAGTTTTGAGCTTTTTTAGTAGCATTTTCAGCAGCATTTTTATCGGCCGCTACTGTTTTTTGAATATTGCTAATGTCAATTTTTGCTTGATTTACTGTACTCACAAGCTTATTAGCAGCTTCAGCATCTATTCCATCTTCTCCCTTCGGGCCTTGTATACCTTGATCACCTTTAGGGCCGTCTTGACCTCTAAAACCAGGTTCACCTTGTGTACCATTAAAGCCTTTAGGACCTTGTTCACCTGGATGACCCCTAGGACCTTCGTTACCTCTATCACCTGGATTCCCTTTCTCACCTCTAAGGCCGTCTTGACCTCTAAAACCAGGTTCACCTCGTGTACCATTAAAGCCTTGAGGACCTGGATGACCCATAGGACCATCGTTACCTTTCTCACCTTTATCGCCTTGCTTCCCTATTTTACCTTCTGGACCAGGCGTTTTTTTTACATTATTAAGTTTTTCTTCTAAATTTTGAATTTTTTTTTCTAATTCTTCTTTAATTTCCAGATCATGTAAGCGATAGTAGTAAGGATATAAAGAAAATCGATATGGAGAGTTATCATACTCATGAAGAATTATTCCATTTTGATCTGATATATAAGCACTCCTAGAATAATTTTGACTACTATCTTCTATTGTAAAATAAAGGCCGTTTGTTTTTTGCGTGATACTTTTTAACACTGGATCACTTTCATTATAGAAATTAATGAAATTTAGTGTGTTATACATGTCATCATTAATTGGAAATTGGATACCATCATCTATATAGTTTGGTATATTATAAATGGAAGCTAACTTTTGTGTTTCTGATTTAAGTTGTGTAATAACCTCTTGACTGCTATCTATAAAAGCTTCTTGTTCTATAATAAAGTCCTTCCCATCTATTTTCAGAGCTGAATCATCATTATGTAAAATCATTTTGTTGCTGCCCTCATTCCACACTAATTTTAGATTACGGTGGTTATCTATTGATATTGAATGATTGTTGTGTGAATGAAGAGTATACCCCTTTCCTTCGCCATTGCTTGCTAATCTGTAATACGCAGTAGGAAGTTTTTAATCAGCCTATCGTAAGACGAAGCGTTATGAACGTCTACTTTAAATGTATATTTTTTCATATTTTCACCCCTTTAAATATCCAGCAACCATCTGACTAATTTCACTTATGTTACTTAGAGAAGTGATATCACTCATAGGTTGCTTATTGCCTACTTTTTCCTCACTATTAAAAACACATTTTAAATGTATACTTTTTGTATTTTTACCCCCTTAAATATCCAGCAACCATCTGACCAATTTCACTTATGTTTCTTAGAGAAGTGATATCACTCATGAAACTTTTTGGCTGCTCATTATCTACTATTTTCTCAATATTAGAAAAACTTCTGTGATACTGACCATTGTTTGCTAATGTTCTTTGCATGCTATCTTTAAAAGCAGCTAAAAATTTGTTAATTTGTTTGCATTCTGGACATGATTTTTTTGCAGTTAAACACAAGAATTTCAACAGCTCATCATCATTAAATGACTTATCAACAATAGTTGAGTGTAGTGTTACTGGATTATACTCTAAGCTCTTTCTTGAAATACCGCATTGTAAAGCAGTGTTTCCTAATACCTCTTCAAAATTTTCCACAACACCTGATGCATAGTTCATTTTTGTTGTTTGGTTCTGATTTTGTATTGTATTGTTTATTTTGTATTTATCTTCTCCTATAGATGCATAGTTCATTTTTGCTGTGTGGGTAAGCTCTTGTCTTATATTTTCTATTTTGTATTTATCTTCTCCTATAAAAGAGGAAAAGAAAGTTATTACTTGTTTGTATTTATCCCCCTGCATAAAAGGGGAAAAGAAAGTTATTGCTTGAGATATAAATGAAGTTGGTCTATTTGCTCCACTTGTCAATAGCTGACTGTCAAAGATTTTCGTTTCTCTTTTCCTTCTGTGTGCGATGCAAAATTGATCTTCGGGTTTTGTTTTACAAAATACCTCTTTTACTTGATTACTGAAAGCTTCTGTACTTATTTGTGATTGCATTGCTTTATTCTTAGACTCTTCAGCCTTTTGTGTAAGAATTTCTGTTTGTCTGTGTAGTCTTGTAACCTGGGACTCAGAGCTTTGAGCTTTTCTAGTAGCATTTTCAGCAGCATTTTTATCAGCCTCTACTACTTTTTGAATATTGCTGATTTCAACTTTTACTTGCTTCACTGTATTTACAAGCTGATTAGCAGCTTCAGCACCTATTCCATCTTCTCCCTTTGGACCTTGTGTACCATTAAAGCCTGCAGGGCCTGGCATACCTCTATCACCTTTATCACCAGGAGAACCCTGAGGTCCAGGTTTTGCTGCGATTGATGTTACATTTAGCTGTAAAATTTTAATTTTCTCTTCTAAGTCTTTAATTTTTTGTTCTAATTCTTTATAACCTGAGCTAATTTTCAAATCATATAAGCGGTAGTAATAAGGGTATAAAGAATTTTGATCGGTATTTTTATCATCCATACCAAATTGTTCATTTGGTGTCAGAGCATAAAATTTTAGACACTGATTATACCAGATGGATATACATCCAACATCAGTTCCATTGAATTTTTCTATCTTTAAAGCAGGAGTACTTGTTATAAAATCAAGAGTAGTATTGAAGTGGTCTACTTGATTAAGGATGATATTTTTAGAGAATAACGTTAATCTATTATCCATAAAAACAGCGGCAATACTGTTCAATACTCCAATCTTTTTATCGTCGAAAAGGGTCTTTATAACAGCGTTTTTATAAGTATTTAATAAAGATCCTTCTGGTGCTTTTAAAAAATTTTTTCCAGCAAGTATTTTAAGCGTGTTGTTAGGTGGACCTTTAAGCTCTTTTAGGATATGGCTTATATTTTTATTACTCATTATATCTTTTGGGTCTAATATGATCCTACTCTCTATTAGAGGTACAAGGTTAGCAGTTGAGTATTTGTAAGTATAAGTGTAGGAATTAATACAATCTTGATCTTGACCTTGATTTTGACACTGACTTATTAATTTTTTAGGTATAAATTGTAAAGTATTTATCTTGGAAATGTTTTCACTGTTGTCATAGTAATCATAGTAATACTCACCTAAATTATTAACCAAAGCTAATTTGTTATTATCTTCTAGTTTTAATCGCAATCCTTGAGATAATTCAGTTAGGATGCTGTATTTGAGGGCAAGTCTAACACTAGATATAAAAAAATGACTATTCTGATCGAAACCGTAAGATGTATAAGGTAAGCCAATGCCTTCTTCGTCGTTTATTTTTACAGTTACAGCCTGATGGTTATAACAATTAATACATAAACTATTCCCTTGTTGTAACTCTGCAAACACCCTAACCCCCTGTTTGAATTGCTATCTTTATATATAACTGATCTACATGATGTCAATTACTTTTTACCGCTATGTACAAATTACCGACATATGCTGCACAAGATGAGACAAAAAAGTGGTCAAAACACCTAATATTTCTAGAAATCGGCTGTCACGAAAGAAGAATTCTAAAGCTCGCGCGGGCATAGTGCAGTTCAGGTTTTGAGCCCTAGAGATTTAAAAATTTTTAACAAAAATATTATAATTTTAATATATGTATTAATTGAGAGGGAATTATGCATTATGGAGAATGGAAAAAAATATTAGGTGAAATAAACTCTGCTCTTAATTTAAGTAAATCTAATACAGATAAAGTAAACTCTGCTCAAAATTTAAATGTAATTGATAAAATAAAAGAGAAATTAGCAGTAGAACATCCATATATATATGAAGAGTGGGAAGAAGAAAAATTTGATATCAAACATTTGTTTTTATTGCAAGTTAGACATGCTATGTGTTATAAATGCACATTATTGCATATTGCTGCTCACTGTAATCTAGAAAATATGGTAAATGCTCTATTAGCAAAAGGTGCGGATGTTGATGCTGAAGATGAAGATAAAAAAAGCCCTTTATATTGTGCTGCTGAGAGTGGTAATGTGAATATAGTAAACACTCTATTAAAAAACAGTTCAAATGCTAATATTACAAATCAAGTTGGAGCAACCCCTTTACATTGTGCTGCTTTTTTTGGTTATGTAGATATAGTAGATGCTCTGTTAAAAAGTGGTGCAGATGTTAATGCTAACGATGAAGATGGAAAAACCCCTTTACATTACGCTACTGAAAGTGGCCATGCGAATGTAGTAAAAGTTCTATTGAAGCACGGTTCAAATGCTAATGCTAAAAGTCAAGGTGGAGCAACATCTTTACATTATGCTGCTTTATTTGGTTATGTAAACATAGTAAACGCTTTATTAGCAAAAGGTGCTAAGGTTTGTGTTATAGATTGCGGTGGAAAAACTCCTTTATATTGGGCTGCTTTATGTGGTGATATGGATGTAATTGATGCTCTGTTAGCAGCAGGTGCAAATATTAATGTTACAGATTTTGATGGAAAAACGCTTCTACATTGGGCTGCTGAAGGTAATGATATAGAAATGGCAAAGATGCTATTAGCGAGAGGTATAGATGTTAATATAGTAGATAATGAACATGGAGGTACTGCTTTACATTGGGCTGCTGGAAGTGGTCATATAGGAGTACTAAAGATTCTGTTGGCAGCAAAAGACATGGATATCCATGTTATAGATCATTATGGAAATACTCCTTTATATTGGGCTGTTTTATGTGGTTATACGGATGTAATCGATGCTTTATTAGTAGAAGGTGCAAATATTAATGTTACAGATTTTGATGGAAGAACTCTTTTACATTGGGCTGTTGAAGATAATGATATAAATGTAGTAAGGGTTCTATTAGCAAGAGATATAGATGTTAAGATAGTAGATAATGAACATGGAGGTACTGCTTTACATTGGGCTGCTAGGAGTGGTTATTTAGAAGTACTAAAGACTCTATTAACAGTAAAAGGTGTAGATGTTAATATTGTAGATAGATATGGAGGTACTGCTTTACACCTAGCTGCTTCGTACGATTATGTGGAGATAGTAAAGGCTCTATTAGCAGCAGGTGCAGATATTAATATAATAGATGGTAGACATGGAGGTGCTGCTTTACATTGGGCTGCTGGAAGTGATCGTTCAAGGGTAGCAAAGATTCTATTAGCAATAGAAGGCATAAATGTTAATATTGTAGATAAATATGGAGATACTGCTTTACATCGAGCTGCTGAACATGGTAATGCAGAGTTAGTAAAGGCTTTATTAGAAAAAGGTGCAGAGGTTGATGCTATAGGTCACGATGGAACTTCTTTACATTATGCTGTTTTGTATAATTGCATAGATGTAATAAAAGTTTTATTAGCAGCAGGTGCAGATATTTCGTTAAGGAATAGAGGTGGTCAAGCTCCTATAGGCTTGTCTGCAGGTTGTATAAAGCAGCTTTTGAAAGATGCAGTAAATGAGCTGTATAGGATGAGAAATCAGACAATTGGTAGCACTGGTATATCATTTTATGAATTTTTACAAGCAGATAAGGTTAAGTTAGCAAGCTACACATACAATGATAAGTTGTATGAAAAATTAAAAGAAGGTCGATATAAAAAGGCTTATCCTATATACACTTCAATGATAGAGGATCAATATAAGATTATAGAGAGAAAACATCTAGAGAAAAAAGCTCTCAAACCACTTGGATGTTTTGGTACATTTGATGAACATCGACAAGTGAAAGAGACCTGGGAAGTGTTAAATGAACATGTCTGTGAGTCAATCATTACTTATCTTACAAATACTGATTTAGAGAACGTTATAAACTCACAAAGAGAGAAGAAAATTAGTTTTCTAAGTAGGTTAAGTAAATGGTTTGGATAACTTTCATATTCGGTTGTTGCCTGCAATGATAAACATGTTTGAAAGAGCAAGTATAGTTAGAAAACTTGACTTTTTGGTAAAATATTATAAGTTCCTCTCTATATATCGGGTATAGGGGGAATGATGAAAAAATTTAAACAAATATTAAAAGTT